ACTGCCTTAAATATAAAATCTTCCAAAACATCGGTGGCGATTCCAATTTGTGCCATATTCTACATGTGCATGTTCATGGCCTCATTTATTGTTTACTGTATGATGTGGTCAGATATTTAGACAATATTTGTTTGATTAATTTTAAGAAGCAATACTGTATCTTAAGTTATAATTTGAAAATAGTTCATTGTTATGAACAAATATAGTAGTGTAATTTCGTTAGTGCTTCTTTCTAGTTCCTATGACATGCATCAAAATAATATTAAAATGATAGCAATGGATTAAGCAATTGCAATATAAAAAATGGGGCTACTAAAATCATTAACATGTTGTATTTTTAAATATTGTGCTTTCAGGCGAAGAGGCAGCACCAGCACTGATGGAGGGTAAGATGGAACAGATTATAATTTAAAAAAAAAACATTTTACAGGAGAATTAAGTGGGTTTTTTAATCTTTGAAATGCTTCAGTGAGGAAATATATTTGTGATGCTATAGATGCTGACGAATTTCAGTAATTATTATTTAATGTTTAGTAAACTTTAATATATTTTTCATTTTTCGGAAATATCAACACTTTAACAATCAATATAAATTGTGATTGTTCCAAGTTACCTCCACCTCTAATTAACAGTATTGGACGTTTCGTATTTTTATTACAATCTCAACAGTAACTCCTTATCCGTTGTTAATACAATATTTCGAATGTTGTCTTAGTCTTTGAGGCGTACACGTATTTGAGCTATTACATCACAAGATGGCAAGTGTTCGTCAAAGGTTATACAACAGCAACATGTTTTAATTTTAAATTACGATTTCATTTATTTGTTGAACAGAAATTAACCTTTGCGATAATAATCCATGCATTAACGGAGTGTGTATTCAACTTGAAGATAGTTATGAGTGTCAATGTAACGATGACTTCACGGGAAGAAATTGTGAAACACGTAAGTCAACATTGTTGGCCAAACATTACATATACTATCATATATCTAGCACTTGAGAACAATATATGGTTAATAGTTAATTGCCCTGCAAATTAACTGTCATTTTGCGTAGCTTATTCAAACCACTGTCAATACGTGTTTCTTCCTAGCCCCCCTGCCTTTTGATTGTGACGTCATTCACACTTTTTGTGTGGCTCGTCAAATCTAATCATTCCCAGATGATTCAGGCGCGCGATGCTCTGCACAATCTATATTGAATAGCTAATGTACTGCACGGTAACAAAACATGAAACAAGTCATTCTCGTGTGTGTGTGGGTGGATGACTATATTTTGTTAGTATATGTGTGTTTTGTATGTCAAGCTATTGTAATCTACTTGTATCAATCCCATCTGTTCAGCTACACCGTTCTCATTTATTCCTCAAATATCGGTTGTAATATGTGATCGCGTTCATGTACATGTTCACTGCCTCTTACCATTCGATCCCTTCCTTTTAAGCCATCCTCAAACCCTGTCATTCAAATCCATGTGCAAATGACGGCGAATGTGTTGATAATTCGCATAGTTATGCATGTAATTGTGTGACTGGATACGAAGGACATAACTGTGAAACAGGTAAGTGAAGTATCCCCAATCATCAGTCGTTGAAACTGGTGGTGTATCGGCTTATGAACCATTTACTGCGGCAATAAGCCTACTCTTTTCGCAGTCAAACCATTTTTTACATTCTACTCCATCCCAGGAGTACTTAATCCATGGTTTCCAACTCATGTAGAAATTAGTTCACGAATGTGGTTATTTACATGTGTGTAATTCGTGATTATATGGATATAATTCTCAGGTATAAATATGTATATTTATGTGTGCCACAATTTTTCTTTGCCTGTACTTTCTTTCCATCCTAGTAGTTCCCAAATCATGTGACTTAAACACGTGTGCAAATAGCGGTGAATGTTTCCATGATCAATTGTATTGCAATTGTGTTACTGGATAGTTCTTGAGTGTGAAATAAGTAAGTTTTATCGTACACATTAGAAACCGCATAAGATTATATATACATTGATATGCGCATTTACATATATATCCGACCACATGTAGCTATATTCAAACTCCTTTTTTTCTACGGAATCCATTCCATTCAAGCTATACACATGCCATACTTAAATTTATAAATTTAAATTTTTGTATGTGTAGTTGGTTATTATGGGTTTTAAGTTTAGTCAGTTCTTAGTTTAAACTAAATAACTCTCTATGCAATTGTCCAAGAATAAATAATGTTTTCTACCTGCCCCCTTCCAATCTTTCCAATCCAGAAATATCTAAACCATGTGACTCAAATCCATGTGAAAATAGTGGTGAATGTGTTGATAATTTGTCCACTTATGCGTGTAATTGTGCAACTGGATATGAAGGTCGTAATTGTGAAAAAGGTAGGTTTGATCATATTCTTTGGTAATCATATATCAATTTATATACAACTTTGTACATGTAGCTATATCTAAACTCTTTTTACCTTCCAAACCCTTTTCATTCCATTTTATTCTAGATATACTCAGACCATCCTCAAATTCATGCACATGATTGCCTATAAACTTTGTGTGTTGTTGGTTATTAAGGGTTTAACGTCTTAGTCAGTTCTTATTTTAAACTAAATACATCCCTGAATAATAATCTAAAAAATAAAAAATG